AGTTTCATTTCATACAATGTCAGGGGTTTCAGTGTTTGTAAACTAGCTGGAGACAGCAGAGCTGTTTCTCTACAGTAGTTTGCAAAATAGCTCATAGACACTACAAAGCCAATGTCAGAGGAGTAAGATATTGCATTTCACAGGATAAGTCCTTGCAATGGAAATGTCACTGAAACTGAAAATGAAGTGAAAAATGATAACAAATCCATCCCTCAGACAGCAGTAATATTTTGGGACTTAGTTAAAAAGGTTTCCTGGAAATTCCCTGTAGCTAACTCTATAAAGGTAAACATCAGTCTTCTTTTTGGCTCGTGTTCCTGGTGCACAGATAAATAGAGCCTTCTCACTCCGTCAGTCGGGTGTTCAACGTTCCAATCTGGCTGGTATCAAACCAAGCCATCTCCTGGTGAAGTATTGCGAAAAAAAACTTTTGTCGGATTCTTGCTGTCTGTCTTGCAGCTGAGGTCAAAAATGTCCAGACTTGGATGGTGCTCAGTATCATTACAGCAAAGGAAATACCCACATAGTAGTAGGCAAACCTGTAGTAAAACAGTAAAAGTCCATGTGGTCAATTGCATCTTGCAAGACAAGTTAGACACATCAGGTCACGTTCAACCCTGCTGAAGCCAATGGGATGTAATTGAGGGTCAAATTTGGCTTACAGCCTAATGGACAAAAAAAATATAGAAACTACACTGTGCTATTCTTATGGAAATAATTGCAGAGGTTCTTACCTGTTCATTTCAGCTTCTATATCCAAACCTGGAATTGCTGGACAAGTAGAGCTACTATTCATCACAGCTGAAAGATTAACTGTAACAAAAAAAAATATTCAGTTTTATTAGAACAGGCATAACACAAATTATGGCGGTTTAAGGCCATAATCTTATGGGTGTTTTGTATGACACTACACTCCCTGCAACCGCTCTATAGATTTATGACTTTCATGGTGGCCATCATCCTTCCAGTGGAGGATCAAACAGGGCAAACTTCTGAGTCAGCTCAGATCACTGTAGAGTGATGTCACGGATTTAGCTCACTACGTCAAAGGGCACTGGTCAGATCATAGCTTCATCTGATCTGACCGTCTGATTCCAACAGTGGCCAATATCTGATTTTTCAGAAGTTGATAACTCCCCCTTCTACCTGACACAAGGCAAAATTCACCCATACAGACACCATAAGTCTGACTTTTATGCACCACTTAGGTTCCACTCAAAACTGGGCCCAAGTTGGGTCCAAGTGGTGGCTCAGCCTTCTGCTGGCTGTCTGCAAAAAGGTAAATTTCACTAATAATGCACCTAACCAAAGGTGCAAAGCTGTTCAGACCAGAGAGAAATGGGAGACCCCTTCCAGGTGTCAGCACATATATTTTAGGGTAAGTTATGATTGCCCTTATCATAAGCTTAGCTCTTATAAACGCAAAGTAGTATTAATGGTCCTATTTTGTTGTTTTAAAAATCCAATCACAGAACTTGATTTGATGACCTCATGGGACGGTGAATTCCATGGATTAACTATAAGCTATAGAAAGTAGTAAATCATTTTATAGTTACCAAATGTACTGCTCTGTAATTTATCAAGTGTCTAGTTTGCTACTGTACTATACAGCAGGGTAAAAAGGAAGGACTCCTCAGAATTCACTATGCTCTTCATGGCTTTTAACACCACAGCAGCACTCCATCCTGAACCTCTGCCAATCCAGTAAATAAGAGACTCTAACAAATATTTTCAGAAGTTGAACAAACTTTGTTTACCTGAAGACATATTTAGTGCTTGGCCAATCATCACAAATCTGTTTGTCATCTCTCCAATGACAATGAATAAAAGTGGCAGCCCTGTTCCATTTGCAACAGCTGCAATCAAACCTATTATCATCAAAATGATATCCAGCCAATCGGCATACCCAAACTACACGAATATAAAGAAAAAGGTATTAGTTGAAGGTTGAAAAATTCACAAAATTGTGACAATACCCTCCTAAGACACATAGAATAGGATTTGTTTTTACATAGCACCATTCGTGATTTGGGTATCCCAAAACGCATTATGAAGCAATGAATTAGATAATGTGAAGGCAAACCCAACATTTCGGATGCACTTTGAAAAAGCTTACACACAGTTTTAGGCCAGTTTTGATTGAGGGAGTTAGGACATGTTGGCAGAATGGCAGGATGAATCCCCTAATCTGCAGAAAAAAGAATATATCTTATATTTTTCACAAAGTGATAACATCACCTGC